CTGTCTGATCACATGAAGATACTTTTGAGTGGGACCTAGAACATTACTGTCTTTAGAACTCAGATGAGACAAGGTCACAGGGTGGAAAGGACAATACTTCCTCAGTGGACAGCAGAGAAAAAACAAAAAGGAGAAAAAGGAAACTGCCATGATGATAAGGAATGTTTTCAAGAAGCCCAGGAAAGGTCTAGTTTCTTCTCCCGATGACTGGCAGCTTTGTTTCCCCGTGAAATATACAGGTTCCCAGGGTAGTAGTGCTACTTCAGGAATAGAATTCTCACTTTCTGTTCAGGACACTGGGTTCTACTTCATAGGTAGAAGCCTGGCCCCTGTTTTTTTATGCTCTGTTTACTCTCATTTTTTTACTTTATGCTCAGTCTGCAACACAGTTGCAGTTCAAAACAACTGACTGCCATAAGCCATGCCTCTCTGTGTATGTATTGAGAATCCTGGGAAGTAAATCATAAAGAGAATTTTCTTGTAAATGAAGCTGAGTTTTTCTCTATTGTCAACCTAATGCTTAGCTCAGGAAGGAAGTAGTTCACACATATTAACTCTCCCTCTGCAGGGGAAACCTAGCTACCTTTTGTCTGCGGAAGCAGCTCATTTCCTGTGATCTGTCACAAGAGAAATTCCAACTTATATTTTCTGATTCCTTCCTGATTAAGAATATCATATATCATATGGTATCATATGATATTATAGGATATAATATATATGAAATTTGGCTTCCCACAAAGGTGGGCTGAGAAGAAAAGCCTGGCAATTTATTCCCAAAAATCAGCTGGGGAAAACACCATGGACCCTGGCGGTCTGATCAGCAAGACATCAGGGAGGTGGTGTGGTGCGGGGCTGCATTTTGTTCCATTGAGTATGAGGATGCTGTGGGTAGGTAATAACAGAGTCCTCGGTGAAGCTTGGAGAAACCCATAGATTTTAGGAACCTTATTGAGAATGAGCACCTCAGATGGAATGAGTGAAGAACCTCAGTGATATGGCCATTGTAGGTGGTCAAGCAGGGCCAGGGTAACCAGAGCTGAGGCGTTCTCACAGCAGAAAAGAGAAGTCCGATCAAAGCTGGAAGCTGTGCTCTAGAACCTTCCAACAGTGGCCAGTGGCTCCTGGGCTCCAGCCAGAGCCTCCTATCTGGGGCAAGCCTGAAGGATCTCTCTAGAGCTGAGTCACCCCGGCTGAGAACTGTTTATATAACTTCAGCTGTTTCTGTTGTCAGCTGTGGTGTCTAAAATCCCGTGAGGCAAGGAATGTGATGGGGCAGCAGGATTGACCTTGGATGCGAATGACTGGCATGAATGAACTACCCCCATCTAAGTGCTTCTCCACTCAGACCACACTACCCTATGACCATAGGGGCCTCAGTCAGGCCTGACCTGATTCCTGCCAGCCTGGTGAGAGGAGAGCCTTTAGTTTCTGCTTAGACCACACCACCCAGATTTAATTTGTTCCAGGTCTCCAACACTGAGTATTAAGAGGCCAGTGTTGGTAGTGCTTCCACTGTAGGTGAACACATGGATATGTGTACACCCCCTCCATCCAGAGCGGTGACCTCAGAGAGGCCAAGAACAAGAAGTAGGAATGATCCCCTGCTGTCTGTGCTTCGCTGTCATACAGTCCTGAACTGGACAACCCTCTAGGCCAGATGACCCCAGTCCCCAGGTATCTCCCTTTTGTAGAGAAGGTGCAAGAGGTAAATGTCTATTAGAAGAAAAGGCCTAGATTTTTTTACTCCACTGAGAACCATTCTTGGTAACCTGAATACCTGGCAAGGTAGTTGAAACAAAGTTCTGCTTACTAAATTCCCACAAACAAGTCAACGGCAAGCCAGCTGCAGGGAGCTGACTTAACAGCTTCCTGTAGGACCTGTGGCCTGATGCTGCCCAACAGTAGCTGGGCACAGAGAAGTGAAGACAAACGTCAGACAGCCCTTAGCCAAAGGTATGGATGAAAGTCTGGTGGTCCAGGTGGAATCCCTATAAGCTCTACTTGCTTTTCTAAACACACAACAGCTTCTATTTGCAACCCCTGAAGATGCCTTCAGTTCCCAACATGCTTCCCTCACTTCCTGGTTCCGAGACTTCTAGTGGCTTCACTGATGCCAACAGTTAGTCTAGCTGAGTTCTTCCTGAGCCTTGAGACTTCCTTAGAGTGTATGAAAGACCGAGTGTTACACTTGATAGGTCGTACTCCTCAGATTGTTAAAATTGTAGTAGTGATAAATCATAAGAGTTCAGAGTAATTTATCTGTAGAAAGCACCTCACACCCCAGTCTTCCTGCCTCCCCAGCACATCCTTGCTGACGCTGGTTGCATTGCTCTGGAATGCAGACCAGTTGTGATCAAGGAGGGACAGGGCCTCAAGTGTACAGCCTGGATGTTATTTATGAGATGACAGATGCACTGGATTTGTTCATTTTTGTGTGGAGAGCAGTGGCCCCTTCTTCCTTCCACAGTGAGTCTAGGGCCAGTAAGTTCAAAGGGAATCTTTAGTGTGATTTACCCTACTTACTCTAAATCAGAAAGCCACCTGTGTAACTTTGAAAAAGAAAATCCTTTGATGTCTTTACCTTATTTGGATTGGGTGGGGGGAGTTTGGAGAAAGACACTGTTAATTCTAAAATAGTTCCTGCATTTGAAGAGAGGGCAATAGCAGACCCAGCTGAATCATTCTCTTGATGCTTGAGCTTCTTAAAAATAGACCCCTGGTATGTTCTAATTATACCAGAGTGCTTGGAGGGGCCTTTCTACTCGCAACAGCTCACCCGACTCTTGGCCCTCAGATGAGCTTCTTGTTGTTGTGTGCTGCCAAGCTGGAACCAACCCAAAGCCAAGCCTCCAGTGAGTTTTCAGAGGCAGTAAATTGCACAGGATGAGACTGCCCATCCCTCTCCCATGGAGCAGATGGTGGATTTGAACCATGCCTTTGGGATTGCAGCATAGCATTTTACCACTAGGTGACGAGAGCTCCTTCTTCTTGTTAGATGCCATCGAGTATGACTCAGGGTGACCCTGTGAGCAGCAGATCTGAATCCTGTCCTCTTAGGTACCATCCTCATCATCTCTGATACACATGAGCCCATTGCTGCAGTCACGTCACTCTGCTTCACTGGGGGCCATCGTTTCTTTCATTTACCACCATCTTTCCAAGTATACTATTATTCCTTTCCAGGGAATAGCCTCTCCTAGCAACACGTCCAAAGTATGTGAGATGAAGCTTCACCATCCTTGCCTCCAAGGAGCACTCTGTCCCTTTGCCAAGACATATCTGTTTGTTCTTTTGACAGTTAGTGGGGTATTCCATGCTCTCCTGCAGCATCACATCTTGAAGGCATTATTCTGTCTGTCATTCTTACTTGTTGTCCAGCTCTCAGATACATAGCAAGTGTTGAAAAGACCATGGCCTGAGTCAGGTACACCTTAATCTTCAAACTGACATCATTGCTCTTCAGTGTTTTGGAGAGATCCCTGACAGACTTGCCCATAGCTATACATCTCCTGACCTCTAGGCTGCTGGTACCAGGGGTGTTGATTGTGGATCCAAGCAAGATAAAATCATAGACTGTTTCAATCCTTTATCTCGTTTGATGTTGCCTATTGGCCAAATTTGAAGGATTTTTGTTTTCTTAATGTTGAAACATAATACATACTGAAGGCTCCCTAAGTGCTATCAAATCTACTGTGACTCTTAGCCACTCTGTGAACAGATCCGAACCTTGCCCTGTCCTGTGTAGTCCTCATGATCTCCAACATGCTTGAGCCCACTGTGTCAGTCCATCTTGTTGAGGGTCTTCCTTTCTCTCTCTGATTGTCCACCTTCCCAGCATGATTTGTTTTTCCAAGGACTGGCCCCTTCTGACATGACCAGTGTATGTAAGGAGCACACTGATTGCCCTTCTTCTAAGACAGATTTGCTTGATCTCCCCCCCTCCCATGAAAATCAAATTGATTTGGCCTCACAGATCATATGCATGTCAAGTATGCCTTCGGTGCTTGCAGAGGTCCACTAAGATCGTTGGCAGTGCGCAGATGTGGATGGAAGGTCAGGCTGGTTTTGCTTGTGTATCTGCTGCTTTAGTGAGCTTAGCTGACTTAGTTGGCCAATTCAGCATGCAGCTTCTCCAGTGGCAATCTGAAGCATACATTGTTTGTTCTTTTGGCAATCCATGGAATATTTAATACTTTCCTACGACACCACAGTTCAAAGGCATCAATTCTTCTTCTGTCATCCTCATTCATTGTCCAATATTCAGATGCATAGAATTCAGAGAAAAGACCATGACTTGGCTCGGGCGCACTTTAAAAAAAAGGCAACACTTGGATGAACTGGCAGGACCATAATGGGATTTCTAGCTGGGCTCCTAGGTAGGTAGCAATAACTTACTTTTACCCTTCATCAGACAAAGGGATGGTAGCCTCTGTCACCATGAAAGGCAAGTCCCATTTTCTGGGTAGTTCATCAGGAATCTAAATGTAACAGTTTTTCTGCTAGCATTAACACTTTTTTTTTTCCTTACTTGATTTCTGGGCACTAAGAAGAGGTGGGAGGGGGTGAAGTAGAGCCAGTCTAGAACCACATTCAGCATAAAAGTCAGCCAGTTCCCTGGGCTTTGCAAGATCAAGGCAGGCCTCTGTCACTGTAGTTAATGGCACATAACAACAAGAGCTTATGGTGAGGATCAGTGTAAACTACTTAGGGAAGCAGCCAGCATATATGCACTGACTCATTACGGTTGAGTGGGTTTTGATTTCTGGTGACTCACTCCTGGGTTTCCAGTTGTGCTTTTGAGGAAGAGACTGCCTCATCTTTCTCTCTCAGATCGGTTGGTGAAAAACTGTCAACCTTCTGTTACTCCTTAAAACCTATGAAGGAACAGAGGTACAGAGTAACTAACTTAAGGGTTAGAGAAACTGAGTAGACACTTGATATGTTCAGTGATCTCTGACTCCTCTCTCTCCTCGCCTCACCTTTTTTATCTTTCACCCTAGGCCTGCACTGCCTGAAAAGAAGGTAGCGGATCTGAGCACTCTGAACGAAGTGGGCTATCAAATTCGAATTTAGCTCAGCCCTAACAGCCGGGAGGAGAGCTGCCGAGGTGCTTTTCTCTGCACTTTACCCAGTGTCTTCAGGCGGAACTGCAACTATTAGGAAAATGTATGGATTCCTTTTTTCTGGATTCACCTGAAAATAGAACCAGAGTTGACGGTAACAATTAACCTAAAAAAAAAAATCATGAAGGGGCAACCATGAAAATACTAAAGTAGCAAACCCCACCGGGGTTGGACTGTCTCCTTCTGAGTCAAGGGATACAAACCACAACTGTAGTTTTGTATTTCCCCATTTACTTTATTTCTTTCCTTTGCTTTGAACATTATGCTTCGCCAGTTGCCAGTATTCACAAAATCCTCCCCCTTTTGGTAGAGTTAAGGTAACTGAATCAGTATTAATGTCTTTTTCAGCAATAACAGCAGCAGTGATGGGTGGGGTTTTTTAAAGCAGTCAATATTACCTCAGCATCTTGACATCAGATATGCAAACTTAATGGTGTTTTGTTTTTTTAATATCCTATTTGTATTGTTTCCCCACTATTTTCATGGGGATCTCCTAGAGTCTGGAGTTCTTTTTTTCTTGGTGCACACCTGTGATGAGATTTAAGATGTTATTATGCAAGTGTTTTACTAAAAAGCACTGAAATCCTTCTGGCAATACGGGAAACCATTTTCAGGATTTTGGAATTCCTTTCTTCTACGTCTTTCTTACAGTGTTCACTTGACAGCTGTTTTTGTCCTTTCAAATCAAAGTTTTTAAAATCACGTTTAGTAGTGAGTGTTCTGTTCTGTCAATAGCATTTAAACTTTGCAGATTCCAGCAAAAAGCACAAGAGGTCAAGCATTGTTAACATATATTTAGTGGTGGTATGGTTACTTCTGCCAGTTACCCTCGTAGGAAACACAAGGCCAGGAGTGAATCGGTCTCTCTTGAGAACCTGATACCCTTTATGTTCACATTTCATCTGATTTTTGATTGAGTCAGGTTTTGATTCTGTGGACTCACTGCTGTTAGAGATGTTTTCTGATGTCTTATATTAAGACCTTTTGTGGCATAATGTGATTCCCTCCGCCCCCCACAGTACTTTACTTTTAGGTACCACTTCATGACATTTAAGAACAAGTAATAGAAAATAAAATTAATTTGTGAATCATAACTTCTTTTAATGGAAAACTCTTCTGGTACAGTGTTAACAATTTATAGTGTGATTAACCCATGAAGCACAGCATAATACTTGGGCTGTATATGCCAGTTAACTTCTGGCTGTTGGCCACAGAGAATAACTCTTAATAGCATACTTCACTGGCATGTTATCAAGAGTAGAGCTTCTGTTTTGTTTATGTCAGCACTTAGGCCAAATGATGAATCCAAAAGGCATCTTAAGTCCACTGGTCCACAAAAGTGTTATTTCTGCCTCATTGATTCTCTAGCTCTGTTTGACAAAAGGTGGTTCTAGAAAGGGAGGGGGTTTTGGGGGGAAAAATACAAAGATTCTATTCATTTAAATTTTTCATCAACAGAACAAATCTCTGGTGGGCACAAGGAAAACAAACCCTGACTTCAACCATGCACATGAGAGCTTGTTTTTCCCTGAAAATCAGTATTATTAATGGAAAGTATTGTTTCTTTAAAAAAAAGGAAGTATAACATCCTCATGAATATAAACAAGTATTTATCTCAATTACACTGAAATGCAATCAATACATGTTAAAAATCCTAAACTTTCCTATTTCTTTAAGAGTATCTATCATTATCAATTAGAACAATTTACAATGTGATTATCTTTGTACATTTTTACAAGGCAAACGTACTTAAATACCTGGAGTAGTCATTTCTTTTTAATTCCAAAACAATATAACTTAGCCATTTCTATATAGATATCTACCCTCTGTTTACCAATCTGAAACTTTCATTATATCCAACAAGTAGACTCTGCAACCATTCTGTGTACTTGGAACAGGATTTGCTAAGTATTACTTAAGTATTGTCCCTATTAAAATATAGAACATCAAAGAGTTGCATAGTCTCATTTCTCAGAAAAGGGGGGAAGAGATAGGAATACAAGCTTGTCTCTACTGTGCTGATAAATAAGCCTTAAAACTGTTAACTGGCTTGATGATCAATTAGAATAACTTCTACACTCCTATCTTGATTCTAAAAGTCATGCAATAGGTTTGGGTCTCCCCTGACTTTCCAGGGGTGTTTCCCTCCTTTCTTCTTTCCTTTTCTCTTTAACTCTTTTGCACAGCCTATCTCTCATCTTTCATCAACCATGACTCCTTTGCAAAACCTTAAGAAACCTTTTTGTTTTTCTAAATTAAAAGAGAAAAAAATATTCACTTCCCAAAGCAAGAAAATCATAGAAATACAAAAATTTCTTTAACCTGGTCTTAGCTGCCATTCAATTTTTATTTCCTGTGGAATATGTTCATTTCTAAAAGGTAAGGGAAAGGCACCAAATTGCTAAATTCTAATGCAATAATTTAATTAAAATCCTATTAAGACAAGAAAAAAAATTACATGCTTTACTTGCCAAAAGTTGATCTTAAGAATGGTTCTGCACTTCGAAAAATGAAATTAAAGTGTGATTTGAAACGTAGTTTTAAAAAAGGTATCAAAGAGAAAAATGCTCAAGCCATCATAATATATGCAAAGTTTAAATGAATGACAGAAATAATTGACTTTAGATTCTATGTTGTGCTGTTTTGAGTACATTTTATTTCAGAAAGTGATACTTAGGATTTTCTATACACTGAAATTCATGAGCATTTCACTTTTTCTAAGTCAATTATTTAATAAGGATTTTATTACTAGATATTGGTAAATAGAACTTTGGAAATTTTAATTCCGTATTCTTCTTATACTTGAGACTTTTGTAAGCTATAGTTTTATGTACACTCTTGTACAGTTTTTCCCCCACATATAATTCTGAATTTGTTTATTCTCTTAGACTTTGTTCTGGCCAATACATTTTTTTTTTTAAAAAAAAAATCTTCAAGAAAAACTTTGATTGTTTTAGTGGTATTTTTCTAAGTAAATGAAAACTTGTACAATGGTATTTTAGGGAATGCCAGATTAAGTGCATGTTTCACATTAATGTTTTTCTCATCACTTGTATGACTGTCTACAGCATGGGACTTTAATAAAACCATCCTGGAAACTTAGGGTCAATTTTGCTTTTCTTCTAAGTCAGCTGTGTGATTTCTTTCTTGTCCTCTCAAAATATTCTATGTTAAACACCATTCTGTAGGCACATGTCACTTCACTTCTTTTTCAGCATTTCTCTGAGTAACAAAGGCTGAAAGGGGTAATGGAATGTTTTTGAAGAGGCAATACGTCACCTTACACCGAAGTACCCCCACCACAAAGCCTTTAGCACGGGGGGGGTGTAGGAGGTGGAGGTGGAGGGGGAACTAGTATAATAATTTATCAGGTAATTTACATATACATAGTGCACAGAACTTAAAGCTTCTAGTTGCTCTACCCCTTGAACTCTCTGGATCTCAAACTTTTCTTTTTAATCATGGTTAAAATCTGCTAAATTCAAGAATAGATCTGAGATATTTCAAACATGCATATATTATTTTGATATCAAAATTATTTTGATACTAAAACTGGGACAACACAGCACTTGAACAATGTAGAGATTAGGTTTTACCAATTAACTAGATTTTATTGCTTTTGGAAAGAGAGAGAGAGAGTGTGTGTGTGTGTACACAATGCTCTAGCAGAATTACAAACTATTCTGACCAAAAAAAGGAAAGATAGTGGCTAAATATTTCTAGTGGTATTTTAAATATCTATGAGAAAGTTACATTGATCCTTGGCTTCATGTCTATAAAATATTAATAACACTCTATAAGCTACATAGAAAGTAATTTTATCAAAGTGAAGCAAACACAACAAAAAAGCCTAAAATTTCTATTAATCCATATATTTAAAAATTTCTCACAAGTTTTCAGGATGTTATAAATGATCTATATATAGCTATTTATTAATGAACTGACATCACGAAGCAGTGACTAATCCAGTGAGTCTCCATTTTTCTTTTCCCAACACTAAAAAGGGTAATTATAATAGCTATCACTAAAATGTGATGATGACTATCTGCTGACCACAAAATATTCTACCATTGCTAGTTAAGTGTGGAGACAGAGCTGTAACTATGGGAAATACTGTATATACCCTCCCCCACCTCCAAAGTTAGAAATATTTTACTTCCTACAGTTTTACAAGGCAAATGCTTATAACCAATATGTTCTTTTCAGAGCTTTCATCTAATTTTTTAAAAATACAGTAAAAGCTTTGGTACAAAAACTTTTTAAAATTCAAAAGTATGAACAAACTATTAGCTTTCCTTTTTAAAATGAAACAATCTCTTAAAATCCACTGTAAAAACTTTTCTAATTCAGTGTAAAATTACTACTTAGTAAAAACACACGTAATTCTTTGATCTCAATGTCTAGGACACAAATATTTTACTTTTTGTTTTAAAATTTTTATTCAAAGACTTCTATAATGTCAACTGCAATATTTATTAAACCTGCTAAGTCACTCCATAAAGAAATGTCAAGACCATCTTTTCACCCTGATGAATTTCTGGAAAAGACAATTTTTTAGATACGAAGTCATTAAAATCAGGAACTGAAATTCCTGCCCAACAAGTCTCCAAGTGGGTATTTCACTACCAGAATTTTGCAAGTTTCTGCATATTTCTGATGCATAATAAAAATAATCTTATAGCTGCCACTTTATTCCAAAAACAATTTTCCTAATAAAATAAACTTCTACAGAATTCATTAATAGAAAAGCCTCTCTTCTAACCTGGGTATCTTTTTCAAATGGACTAGAGAAAGAATAAGCTGCTAGGGGAAAAGGCATCTAGCACCTGCACCTCTCCAGCTTCCCTCTGCTGCAGGCTGGGAAGAATGGGCTTACGTAAAGCACTGCTTAATAGTAATGCTGCTGTGTAACACCAAGTCGGAGCTGACCCACAGATGACCACCTGCAGCAGATTTTCAGAGGCAGTAAATTGCACAAGACACTGCCCATCTTTCTTCCATGAACAGCAAGCAGACCATGTGCCTTTGGAATTGTGGCCCTGTTTCTTACCACCAGGCCACCAGAGTTCCCCACTTTCTAGTAATAGCAACTTGTATTTCCTAAGCATGCCTCCAACAAAATGCAGAACTATCACATGGTCCCGGATATTAACAGGCCAGATTAAGCATTTTGGATCATTTAAAAAGCAAGATTCAAGCCTCTTCAAACTGACAACAACTGGCCACCTGTGACTGATGCAGTGATTCCCAAAAGACTAACAGGGACTCAACAAAGGTCTCCTGAAGAAACCAGCCCGCTGACTCACCTAACTTCTCCTTCTCACCCTAATAAACTCTGTCTGCTGAAAAATAAATAAAACAAAAAAAAAAAGAAAAGAAAGAAACCAGCCCTCAGAGAAGGGTAACGTGTGTGGTTTGCAAATACCCAAATGATACTTTGGGTCCACTGTAAAGCTTGCCAAAACAATGAAATTCTTCATTAAAGAAGATACACTCTAATTTTAAATGCTGTCAATTTTACTAGGATTTACAGTAAAAAATATTTACATATTAAAAATAATTTAGATTAAAAACAAGTCCCTGAACAAGATAGATTGGCACAATGACTACAACAAGGGGCTTGCATGGCAGGTGAAGATGGCAAAACGACAGGGTAAGGTTTCACTGTTGCAGGGTCACTCAATGACACAACAGTAAAATGACAACAGTAAAAAGTCTTCCTTGGGCATTATGCTCTTTAAACAACTATCTCTATGGGATTGACCTGACAACAGCAACTCAAAGGATTAGAGGGGACACCTCAGGGGTCAGGGAATTAACAACTCAGGAGAGGAAGGGAACAAGGCGGTACAACTTGAAGAATGTGATCAAGGTACTGAATGAATAAGTAGAAACTTCTGAACTGGTGTATATTTTGTTGTGTACACTCAAACAGCAAAATAAATAAAATTAAAAGAAAAAATTTACATCTCTTTTACAATAAAGATCATGTTTCACCTGTCAGTAAAATAGTTTTCATTTTTAAAAAAGGAAATATTGTAAACTTATTTCTTCTATTGTTTGCTTCAAGCATTTAACATAAGTTCTTTAAAAAACCTCCAGCGCACAAAACCATGTAAACCCTTCACATCCGTATGTTCTTTCAAACAGTGTAGGAAAGACGGGAAGAGAATCATGGTGGGAATAAAAGAAGGGTCAGAGCTCAAGTCTGAACTTAGCCAACAACGGCAGATGATCTGAAGAGTTGTTTTCATTTGGCAGTCCATTAACGGTCCATAAGTCTTGTTCGGTAAGAAGTGACAGTCTAGCTAGAAGTTTCAAGCCACCAACCAAAGAAACTTCAGTTCCTATGTTAAAGAAAAGTACATGTTCAGTGAAACTATGCCAATAGGCTATTACAAATTAATCAGTCTTTTTTCTAAACTAGAATATAAAATTTGAGACCCTTTAAGACTAATATGACAAATTTTTTTGGAATATGCTAGTTTTACTGGTTAACAATTTAATTAAAAATCTCAAAAACATAGTGGTTTCTGATGAATTTATTTAAAATATTTGTTTCTAATTCAAGGTCCACAAATAAACTTTAGAAAATATCAACGCAATAAGTAAGAATGTGAAGATAATTATATCGGAAATTATATTGATAATTATATAGGAAATTCATCCATTAACCATTCGGTAGTTTCATAAAGCCAAGAAGGTCCAGGCACAGTTGAGAAAGTTTATAAACTGACGGATAATAAGTATAACTTGACCTCACAGCATTATTACCAAGAGAAGTAAAAGATGGCCTATGCATAGTGTTGAGAGATAGGGCATGACTCTCCTGCCCCCTAGTGAAATTTTATAAGCATTACAGCTATCAGAACATTAAAAAACAAGCTTTTTACGTAGGGTTGATACAGTTAGTGGAAAAGAATCACTTGCAGAGTATAAATGTTATCCCTAGGAAGAGAGAAGAAAACTGGTAAGGGAAAGTAGAAACTAGTACAAGAAAGAAGGAAGGAAGGGGGAAATAGAAATAAAAAAGAAAAAGCAGTGAGTGGCCCAGATAATTTTGGATTTCCAAAGTTTTCTGAGTATTTTTTTACTTTGTTATTTTAAACTGTATTTTAATTCTTCTCCACTTTAAATCCTTTGATTAATTCTTGAAATCCAATTTTTACTGAACCATACAAGAAAACAAGTCTTTTAATCTTGGCTTTTTGAAAACAATCGTATTACAGACTCTTCTTCAAAAAGATACAGTATTGTGTCAAAACTGTCTGTTGCTGGCAGCACATTAGGGTCCTACAATAAAAGGCAGCATGCTTTAGTAATTTAAGCACAAAAATGTATGAAGGCTGATAAACCATTTTATTCATCTCCTGTCACAGGAAACAATACATTTGTCAAGCAAAACCAAAGACCTTTATGAAGGACTGCTATGGATGGCTCAGGACAGGCCAAAATTCCAACCTGTTGTTCAGAGTTGCTATGAGTTAGAGTTGACACTCAGCACCTAACAATAACTAGGACAGACAATAACTGAAACTAGTAAAGCTGAGGATATAACTGTAAGATAATGACTTGCTTTTGTTAACCAATATGGGGGAGCCCTCAGGACATTTTGCTGAGTGAAATATTCCAGTCACAAAAGGACAAATACTGCCTAACGCACAGATATACAATAAGACAGACATGGGGGATTGGGGAGAGAATGGTAGATAATATAATACTGGACAGATAATGAAAACTGCAATAGATCAGATAAGAGGAAGAACTGTCTGGAATATATTATTAGGCACTGTTGTTACATGCTATCAAACTGTAGATGACTCATAGTGACCCTATGAATGAAAGACCTGAACACTTGCTTAACTTCCATCCTTTCTCCAGGTTCATAGAGTTTCTGGAGGCAAGCTCTTTTGGAAGTGGATGCTACTCCTGCTTCCAAGCTTGTTTTAATCAGGGAGCTCCACAAAACACTGTCCACCATGGGTAACCATTATCGCCTTTGACACATCAGTGTCACAGTGTTCAGCTTCACAGCAACCATGAATTACCTCTGTACAGCAAATGGACAGACCAGGGCTATATGACCTAGAAGAATGCTTCAACAAAAACAAAAACAGGCCTGAGGGTGGCAGATTAGAGTCACCCATCTTTGGCTTGGTAGCATCACTTTCTGTTCACTAGGCCAACTGCTCTCTCTCTTATGCAACCTCTAGACCTACAAAATCAAGCTCTTGATTTTATTCCCAGGTACTTCAAATAGTCAACTATTCTCAGGTATTCAAATAGTCAACTGGCTCAGAGAGGCATCAACAAATCTCATTCTGACAACACATTCAGAGTTAAGTCAGACAGTTTGCCCTTCCTTGCATCTAAGCACCACTCTGGTTACACTTCTTCCAAGATACTGTTGCTGTTATGTGCTGTCAAGTCCCTTGTAATTCATAGCAACTCTATGTACAACGGCGATGAACCCTGCTCTATCCTGAGCCAACCTTATCATCTCTGACACACCGACCTTCATTATCCCAGTCACTGAATCAATCGAGAAGTCTTCCTCTCTTGAGCTGTCCCTCTACCCACCCACACATATCCCTCTCCAAGGACTGGTCCCTCCTTGAAACATGCCCAAAGTATGTCAGACATATTCTTGTACTTATTCATAGAATATGCAATGCTCTTCTTCAACACCACAATTCAAAGGCATTGATACTTCTTTGGCATGTCTTACTCATTGTCCAACTTTTAATAACATAAATCAACTGAACCCTTTTTTGTTTTATTAGAAATACTTTCCACTTCTCTTTACCTAGTTCTGACTATGTTAGGAATTATATGTATGAAAACAATCTGGAACAAAGAAAGGGTGCACTGCAGGTGAGCTGGAGAGGGGGAAAGGAGAGGAGGAAGAATATGTGCAACGAAAAAAAAGATTTTTAAAAACTTGCTTTGAGGTGTTTCACTGCCTTCATTATATGCAAGCAATTCATGAATTTAACCAAATGTACAACCAATTTGAAAATAACAATCTAAAACTTCATCTAGAAGTTTAGCTAACTATCTCAACCATGTGTTACTGCTGTTATGCGCCATCTAGATGCCTGCGACCCATAACGTCTCTGAAGCCTACCCTGTCCTGAGAGCATAATTCCGACACACCAACCCCCACTGCCCCAGTCCTGTATTGATCCACCTCAGGGGTCTTTCTTTACTGCACTGTCCCTCCACCACAGCCTTGAGAATTTAGCTACTGTGCTGAGGAGCCCTGCCGGTGCAAACAATTAAGAGCTCAGCTGCTATTCAAAACCCATTCAGTGGCTCTGCAGCCCAGGAAGCTTCATGGGGCAGCTGTACGCTGTCACACGGAATGAACTGAAAGCAACTCAGCAATATCTAATAACAGTGCTAGGCAGCAGTTTACCTGACTCCCCAGTAACATCTTCCTTTTCAGTAGAGTAGAAAATATAATCCACAGTTATGGCACTTCGGGAATGACAAGTGGTCACTTCTGGAATTCCAGTGTCGGGAAAGTAATGTGAATAAACAGATGATAAGCTGAAGCAATGCTGCAAATGTGAAGATAATCTAAAGAGAAAAAAAGCAATTTAGCATCCATTGAGTTTTATGACTTCCACACGTTCTTCTATTTAAAGTTTTTTCATTTAATTTCCTTAGGCTAAGGCTGGACATTAGAACAAGCTTTACTTAAACAATGTATCATACGTGGCATTCATATTTCCTGTGTGATATTACATGAAAAAAGCTCAATAATCAACAAACTGATGATCTTTTATCTGTTTTAATACACTCGAGACCCTTTACTTCCTCTAGAACATGCACTCTACACCAACTTAAAAGTGTTGAGTTGTATTTTTAAGAAAGAAAATCAAAGTGGTCTTTAAGAATTGCTATGTACCATCAAGTTGGGACCAACCCCTATCTGACCCTACAGTGGTTTGTCAGAAGCAGTAAATTACACAGAGGAGATTGCCCATCTTTCTCCTGTGGAGCAGTGGGTGGATTTGAACCACATGCCTTCAGGTTGGCAGCACAGCTCCTTACCACCAAGCCACCAAAGCTCCCTCTAATTAAAGAACTAGAACCCACCAAACTTTTGGAGTTAGAAGGGCCAAGATTTTCTACACTTGTTCTTGTTACAGCATGTCATCATTTGTCACTGAGTCGATTCCAACTCACGGTAACCTGACAGGACTGAGAAGTACCCCACAGGGCTTCTATGCCTATAACATTTATGGAAACAGACTGTCACATCTTTGTCCCTCAGTGCATTCTGGTAGGTAGAACTGTCAACCTTTCAGTCAGTAGGGGGGCAACTGCTGCACCACCAAGGTTTTTGCTATAGCACAGAAGATACTTATGTTCTGTATCTAAAACAAGCTACTTTTTTACATTTAGTCTATGTTATAAACACACATTGGTGGCTCGGTGGTAAGGAATTCTGCTGCTAACGCAAAGGCACAGAGTTCGAATCTACCAGGTGCTCTGTGGGAGATGTCCTCAGATGTAATTTACTGCTTCTGAAAACCCACTGGAAGATCAACTGGTTCAGTTCTAACTCAAACAATTTCTGTTGTACAAAAAACAACAGAAACATGGAATGCCAGAGATAAAGACTGAAAAGGTTTAAAAATAATTTCCAGTTAGTACACCATAATTTGTTGGCTCTTACATGTCATGAAAAAAGCAAAATTTGAAAAACTAATTTTTCTTTAAATTCATCTAAAAAACATCAAGCACCAGGCACAGACTCAGGAACTAAGGATACACAACCAAAGATGCTATCCTTCCTTTTAAATAGATTATGGCTCTGGTGGCAAGAAGCTGCGCAGCAATCCCAAAGGCACACAGTTCAAGGCCACCAGCTGCTCCTGCGGAGCAGGATGGATAATCTTCTCCTGTGAGATTCACTGCCTCTGAAAACCCGCCAGAGGGTCAGCTATGGGTAGGTTTTGACACAACGGTACACAACATGACAAAAAAGAAAGGTAATTCCTTACAAAAACATTTAACTTCCAAGCTTTAGAAATTTCTTATGAATATTTACAATATTATTATATGTAATATAGACTGAAAACTATCTTACTAATTCCACTTTTCATTTTACAGTTATAGTCTATGCTTACAAACATACTATTTAAATTTTCTTATGTCCTAGTTTATAATGATAAATATACTTAAAAACAAAGTACTTGTTTGCTATTTGTTAGAATTCTTACCAGGGAAGTTAATATTGTATTTGAAAAGTTTAGTGTTAAATTGTTAAATAGTCATTTAAAATTTTTTTCAAAAATTGCTTCTTTTTATATTAATGCCAATCTTTTCTGAATACAATTAAGGTACCTAAACTAAGATGGAGAGGGAACGCAGGTAAAATGGGTGACAGTTGTTTTTAATTAGTTTTCTAACTGTCAAAACTAAACTATAAAAGAGATAAAACTCTTTTTTAAAACACAAAACAACATACCCAAGGCATTTTAAGAATCACCCTGAGACTCTAAATCTTTTTCAGGGAAAATTAGTCTCTATCCTGTTTGTATTAAATATAGCATAATTTTATCAACCATAGTACCAAGAACTCATCATCTTTAACAAAAAAAAAAGTTGACAAATTGTCAATCCTGTTCCTCTGACCTTCTCTTTCAGTTCAAGAGGTAAGTAAATATGATCATCTTTTTACTAGCGTATTCCTTTTTTGATCAATTTCCATATACATTGTTTTGAGATCGAGTAAATCAGAGATTATGGAGCCACTTGAAATTATGACTTCTTCCTTGTGATCTTGACTTTTGTTTAATACAAAGTAAGGTAATAAATTTTAAAGTGCACCAGCTATCTAATATCTTTTAGCAAAACTGCTTAAGTACTAACGTGTCAAACGTTGTGCTTTACAAATTTTATTTCAAACCACAGACTTCCAAAAGAACAAATTGTCCTGGAGGAAGTAAAATTTCATCTCATCTACTTTGAGCATACTGTCATGAGGCACCAATCACTGGGAAAAGACATCATACTTAGAAAAGCAGAGGGTCAACCAAAGGAACGAAGACCCTCAATGAGATGGACTAACATGGTGGCTTCAACCATGGATTGAGCATGGTGGAGAGCCTGATGATGGCACAAGACTGGGCACAGGGCATACTATTCTATGACTTGTCGTTGACAACATCTAACAAGTCCTTATAGCAATCCAAGGGGTTTTTTTCCTCCTATTTTTCAGGTGTGCAGTAAGTGGCTTTACTCACATGGACAGTGTTGTGTGCCTCAGACTCTATCTAATTCTAGGTACTATGTGTCCGTGTCCCTTAAAGCAGTGACATCCCACTGCCTCCTCAAGTCCAACAGTCCTTGGGCTACATTGTGTCTGTGGTTGTCCACTCTGGATTTAAATGGGGACCATACAGTATTTGTCTTTCTATACCTGACTCATTTTACTTTGTCTTACAAACACTGGACATGCCATCACAGCACCTCAAATTATACATAAGGAAAGCACACCTCAGGCATGAATTTCTTTTTTTTGGTATTATTATTTTTTATTGATATTTTAATAAAAATTTACAGAATACTTAAGATTTCCATTCATTCATTGTTGCACATTTTCCTCCCTACCCTGCCCTGTCCTTTCCTCTTTAAAAAGATTCTTTCACTGTTACAGTTTCCTTCTCCCCTCCCACGCCCAGGCATGAATTTCTTGCTCATGACTACAAAGTTAAAAAGGAGAAGAATCAGGATTTGAACTCAAGTCGGTGACCTATGAGTAAGGATTCTATACCAGCAAAAAAATACAATCATTGTCTTTATTTTTTTTATCTGATTTTTTTTAGAAATGTTTTTCTTAAACCCAGATGTCTATTATTGTTTTCCAACACTCACTTTTCAGCTGTCACTATAACCTCTGCTTTTTCAAGCTTTGTTTGTGACAGATTATCATCTGTAAAACAAAGAAAAAATTATTTACTGTTTTGTTCTAGTTTGCCTTAACAGTCCCCTTACTCTAGACATAATATTTACGATATACATAGTTTAACTACACACCCCCCCCCACACACACACACCCTCATTATCGGTTTCATCCTGGAATCTCTATGTTCTAGATGGTCTCCAGGAGAAAGACAGTAAAAATAAAATATAAACATTTCTAAAGCAGCATACAATTAAGCAACTGTAATTTTAGAAATTCCACTTAAGAAAGGTAAATGTAGAGCATAAAAAAAAGAAATAAGGAAATAACTGTTTGAATATATGAATATTCAAATTCCAGACACATTTATTCGTGCATTCATTATATATGTGAATATTCATCCTGATGTGTATTTTTTCATATATAAATAAAACTGTATGTCTTCAAAGGGACTATTATTACTGAGAAAACTGTCAAAACACATTGCAAGCACTTACCTGTCTTTTCTACTTTTGGTACCTGTTGTACCTCATACACACAGTTCTGGGAGATACCTAGGTTTGGGGGCCAAATTGGAATAGATAAAATTCTTTGTCCCCGTGAAGATTGTTCCTGGCCAGATACCTAAACAAAATTTCAACAGGTATCTTAAGTGAATGGATTTTAAAGCGCTAAGTATTGAAAAGTTTGTCTTAAATAAAAGATGTTCCCAAATATATTATGGGGCTCTGGTGGCCTAGTGGTAAGAAGTTGTGTGACAATCCCAAAGACACGTAGTTCAAATCTTCTCCACAGGAAATGTTCCAAAGGAAATGGATGGGCAATCTCTTCCTATGCAATTAAATGCCTGTGAAAATCCACTGGAGGGTTAGCTATGGGTCGGTTCTGACTCAACGGCAAACAACCACCACTGGGTATCAGCTTTTTATTCACTGTATTATTATGCATGCTAACTAATATATGTGTGCTTGTTCAAATATATTTCAGAAGGCACTCATCATAGAAGAGGAATTATTTTTCTCCTACATAGTTTTTTCCCCCCTCTAATTTTAACAAGCAAATAATTTCCTTTGGCCCTAATACTGTTCTTCCTCCCATATCCAGAGCCAAACCAGCACTATCAAATTGATTACAACTCACAGTGGTCCTATAGGACAGAGTGAAACTGTCCCAGAAGGCTTCTCAAGTTGTAATCTTTGCATGTCTTTAAGGCAATGAGAGGCTTGGGTTTGGAATCTTTACTATCAGATCTTTCTCCCATGGAGCAACTTGTGGAGCTGAATGATCAACTATTCTGATTATCAGCTGATCACAAACTACTGTGCTCAACGGCTGCTCCCCTGCACTATAGTTCCTACTGTAAATGAAAAGAAATCTGTTGTCAGGTGCTGTCAAGAAGGTACCCGCTCATAGCTGACCCTCCAGCAGGTTTTCAGAGACAGTAAACTAACTGCATAGAACACTGCCCATCCTTCTCCCACAGAGCAACTAGTGGATTTGAACCACATGTCTTTGGTTTGGCAGCACAATTCCTTACCACAGAGCCACCAGACAGAAATCTAATCCACTAGTATTTTTAACTATCACTTAGAGCATCAGCTACAATAGTGAGCTTATTTTGATTAAACATACCTAAAAGTAAATGATCTAAAAAGGTAGAATTCAGAATAAAAAGAAAAACATGATACATACTAAGCTGTAGAACTAAAGTAACACTCTTCTAGTGGTTCAAATCCACTAGTGTCTCCAAGGAAGAAAGATGGTCTACTCTCTCCTGTTAGGATTTACAGCCTCGGAAACCCAACTGAGGTTCGATGCAAGTTGGAACATATTCAATGGCAGTGAGGTTTTAGTTTTTGAAAGAATTAAAGTCTTTATCATTATGTTAAGGGAAATTTATTTTAAAAGTATTAATTTACTGTTTCAGAAAAAAAAAATCAAAGCATTCTTTTATTGTGAACATCCAGCACTCACAATTTTATTCTGCCACAAAAGTAGTCATCTCTTTCAATTTCATTCCCTCTCATCTGGAATTATAGTTCTTGGTGGTGTTTATGCTGTAGGCTTATTCCACCAAGCGGAATATATAGATGAGAAAGATGAAATGCAATCAAGTGAAGCAATTACTGTGAGCAGTGGTAGAAAATCATTATAGCTTAGTAAACTGAGGTTACTGAACCAGATGAGATCTCTTAAATCATATGATGATGACATTCACATCACAATAACCAATGCAACACAGTCCATCCCCAATAATAAAGTGAGTACTTACCTTCCCTATGGCAAGACCTTCATAATTCAACTTTCCATCTTTTATAAAACTATACAGTGGAGAACCAGGAACAGAATTAAAGTCACCACACATGATAATAGGGCAGAAGCTGCCATCTTTCTGATGAGCAACACTGGAAATCTCTGCCAGTAGCATCGCTAACTGGGTTAGCTTAATATCACCCCGCCTTGGATTATACAGCAGGTATGTGTTAGCGATACAGATTGCAGGAGAGGCAGCACGTGGACTTTTTGGTTGCAAGAGCAACACTAATCCAACATTGTCTCTGTCCAACAGAGGAATATCAGGGCGGAAGAATTCCACTGGGTTCACTGATAAGAGTGAAAATTTGTTGTGTTTAAAGCAAATGGCACAGCCGTCAGGTTTCCTTCCTGTCCTCATCTTGTATTCACAGTGATAACCTATAAGGAAAAAATGGATTTCAAAGACTCATCTAAAAATAGATGCGTATCTTTATCAAAATATATGTAAGGATATAAATATATACTTGCCATAGTAAGGTAGATAGTCCATTATTAAGGGGGTGACCTTAAGTCACTTTGCCCATTGTAATGTTAGGACAGTGTTACAATAAGTAACTAACTGTTGTTATTGTTAGGTGCCATCAAGTTGACTACCACACACAGTGACCTCTGGAACAGTGTAACTGAACCTTGCCCTATCCTGCACCAGCCTCACGTTCTCAAGCATGCTTATGGCCAGTGTTACAGTCAATGTGTCCATTCATCTTGTTGAGGGTTTTCCTATCTTTTGATGATCCTCTACCATTCACAGCATGATTTGTTCTTTCAAGGACTGGACCCTTCTGATATCATGCCCAAAGTATGTGGTGAGACAGTTTCACCATCCTTATCTCTAAGAAACACTCCAGCTGCATTTCTTCCGAGACAGATTTGTTAGTTCTTTTGGTTGTCCATGGGATATCCAATAGTCTTTGCCAATACTGCAATTCAAAGGCAGTTCTTCAGTCTTCCTTATCTACTGTCCAACTTTCTGAGAGACAAAAACCAACTGAAAATACCATGGCTTGGAGCAGGCATATCTTAGTCTTTAAACTGATATCCTTGCTCCTTAGCACTTCGCAGAAATTCTTGACAGCAGATTTTCCCCATGGAATACAACTTTGGACTCCTAGTAGGTTTTTTTCCCTAATATGTTTTCCAAGGTAAACTCCTAACAGGTTTATCCTAATGTGGTTACAAAAATATACCCTGAAAAATGTTAGTTATACAGTGCTCAGGCCTTTCGTTCATAGGGTCACTATGAGTCGTCTACAACTCGACAGGACCTAACAACAACAATGACGGTAATAGTTTTGGGGAAACTTCTTTAATTATTGCTAATATTTATTACTACTCTCTCATTTCCAGCCTAGTAAACGCCACACCAAGCAAGACAATAATAGTAAGGTCTTGCATTAATCAGTCTCTCTGTGGCCCCATCCTCAATTCTTGATCTCTTTCACTGACTCTTCCACCCACAGTCTAATCCAGTAACAATGGCCGCCTCACCTCCCCAAACGTCAGTGCCTTTCCACGGCTACTTCAGTGCCATCACCACCATCTGATCTGCTCTAGGGACAGCCTGCTCCTTCAGATCTGCTCAAATGTCACCCTCTCTGTAAATCTTTTTTATTATTCTGTTTAAAATAGAAACTTTCCTTATTCTGGCTTAAAATTATCACAATAAATACAATTCACTTATTTATTTTGCTTATTGTCAGCCTTTCATCACTAAAATGAATATTCAGGCAAACATTTTTTATGTTTTGCTTACTGCTCTATCTCCACTGCCTAGCACAGACAGAATACAGTGTATAGTATGCACTTAAAAATGTTTGCTGAATGAGTGAATATGAAGGAGAAAAGTAGATAGCATTTCTCAAACTTACAAGACCACATATTACCTATTTTTTTAAAAAGATCCATTTTCTGCAACATGTTTTTAATGTTTATCCATTAGTAGATAGTGGTCTTATAACAGGTAACTAAACAGAATGGTCCCTGACCTCAGGGAGTTCAGAATTTTAGGTATGATGGTGGGCAGAACAACTTCTAGGAAAGAAAGCTACTGGGAGATTTTCACACACCCTTGCATTTGAATTACAATTACAAACCAACACAAAAGTTTCCACTTGGATTATCTCAAATCTTTTCCCGACCTTTTAAATAAGTTTTCAGTTATTAATTAAATTTTTTTGCACACATATGAAATAAATCTGTTACTAATTTATGTCTTAATAAACAGGAATTTTTGAAAGTAATTTTTTAAAAGTTAATTTGGCTAAAATAAAAATTACACTGTACCCAATGATTCCAAACTTGGCCTGATCTCTGTTCCATAATGATCTTCTTGAACTTCTTGCAAACAAAGTACCTTAGAAGAAAAAAAATGGCTTGAATTAAAACCTAGAGATGTGGATATGAACTCCTCGGTGCTTTTACCTTTAAAAGTAAGCCTCTACAATGTCAAACATGATGAGAGTTGAAATAAAGACTCAGAATCCTATTAGTCTTATTTAGAGTTTACTAACTCATATTTCCAAACTCTGGCCTCCAAGGACACAGGGCTTTTTAACTCTCTCAAGATCAGTATTTTCCAAAGGAAATACTTAAAATTTACATGTCAGGATTATTTTACCCACTCCATTTACAGGCTCATTAGCACAAAACCCTGATACTCCTTAAAAGCTTGATTTCTTTGCATGCCATAATCCAGATCAAATTTGTACATAAAGTATTAAATATAAATATCAAATAAAAACAATTTTAAGTACTTAATGTCTCCAGTTTCAAAACTGACCAATATTTATAACTTTCTGGATTCTTTTTCAGAAGTTAGATGATTATTTATACTAATAGCCACTTAGCTAATAACTCTCAAGAATTCATGATACCTATTAAACTCTGTACCATTATTATTTTTAAATATCTTATATTCCAAATAAAAATGTTAAATAATTTCTTTTACAAATACATAAATAAAACATTTAATTCACCTTTCTGAAGCATGAAGAAGAATTTTAATATTTTTTCACTTACATCTGCATCAAAGTGTTTGATTTCTTTCAGAATATTGGGAAACCTAAAACTCCAATGTAATAATGGTCGCCGGCAGTGTTTATAGAGGTGTGAGTTGTCTTCCAATAAATCTTGTGAAAGTATGTTATAGGATATCACTGAAAAGTCAAACTTGTTCTCCCTCTCTTCACATTTGGGGTCAGCATTTTTGTCCCCTAGGACCTTCGTGTTTTCCTTATTATGGTTAGATATATATTCCCAGTGCCGTTCTATCACACCTGCCAAAATATATTGGACAAAACAGAAATTCATTAATTTTAAAAAATAGTGTATTTTTTTATCTAAAGTTATTTTCTTGCCTTAAGAAATTCCTATAGTCAAGGGATAGTATTTTCTTCCTTAGAAAATGGCATGATATAATTTGAATAACTAGAAGTTTCTCAAATTGGTTACACAAGAGTACAGTATCATACAGAAACATCAAGAGGCACACAACAGGTTTATAAGGATACAGCATGTCATTTTGGAGGTTGCAAGGAAACATTAATATATTATAAAGGAATGGAAGTTTCTTACTTCTTTATGATTAATCAACAGCTCCACTACAGGCATGGATAACAACTTCAAAATCATAATAACGAATAGGTGTGTTACAGTTGGTTTGTCAATAAAGTAATTTCACATCTTATTTAATCACTATTAGTAAGTAAGAATAAATTCACAACTAGGTTCCAGAAACAATACTTAGCTTATACCTCTGATTTAGGCATGAGTGAAGGGTACAGGATGGCAATTTATAGAATTACTATCTAAAATACTATAAAATAACCAACAAAATGAACAAAAGAAATCATTTCAAAACACATTAAAAGTTAAATGTGACAGTTACAGAATGTTACTAAATGGTAAATCTTGTTAACCAACCTACGGCAATAAGAATGTGTTAGTTTGTGTTCTGCAAAGACATTATGTATCCTGCACAAGTAATGAGAAAATAATCAAAAGGCATGAGATGTTTGCAATCACAGGCAATCCTCCATTTAAAAATGGCTGCCACATATATCCTTTTAATCTTCCGCTCTTAAGCCCACCACGGAAGACAGGAAGTGGTAAGGGAGTGGGAAAGAAGGCGTTTTAGGAAATCTAGGAACTTAAAAAAATTCTACAATAGTGTAGGTAGCACAGTTAATTGTACAACTACTAACAGAAAAGCTGCTGGTTCACACCCAGTCAGAGGTATCTCAGAAAAAAAATCTGGTCATCTGCTTCTGAAAGGTCACAGCCTTTAAGACTATGTGTGCAGATCTCTCTCCACAACCTCTCTCACTCTCAGTGTGTATACACCCCCCCCCCATACATATATGGTAGCTAGCCATGACTTTGATATGATTAAATAGCAACTGATTTCACTGAGTTATGAGCTTAAAAGAAGGGGGGGGGGGAACCAAACAAACCACAAATGAGGAGAACTTAAGAAAATAACTCTGACCATAACAAGACTATGGAGCTCTGGCAATTTAGCGGTAAGGAGTTAATGCCAACCCAAAGGCACATAGTTCAAATCCACCAGCTATTCGGTGGGAGAAAGATGGGCAATCTCCTCCTGTGTGTTTTACTGCCTCTGAAAACTGCTGGAGGGTCAGCTATGAGTCAGTCCCAACTCAATAGTATATAACAACAACATGTGAGACTACATAAAAGATCTCAGCCTCAGAATGTCTCCCACCAGCTTGCATGAAAGTTTTCACTAACTGGATTCTAGTAACTAAAACTGCAGCAATTAAAAATGTCAGTTAACATATTCATACATAGAGGGGGGAAGGCTGAAGACAAACAATTATGTATTTCAAAGTAGTTACCTTCAAGTGGAAGAACTGTTTAGTATTTTTAAAATCTTCTATAATGAAAATATATTTACAATTTGACTGTCAACACACACATACAAATGAAGTTTAAACAATGATACAAATGAATAGACAATATAAATGAAGTTTAAAAAATTTGAAATATAATAAATTAATCAGATTGTTTTCCTCAATATTTATCCCATGCACTGAGGATACAAAACTCTTGAGCAGTGGATAGAAGATGAAGATAATTTTTCTGAACCGTGGATAATTGGATCATGACACCATGAAGGGACTGGGAGCCTGAAAAGAGTGGCAAAGAAAAGAAAGCAGAAGAACACAAAAAAAAACTTCCCACTGTTTCAGAATTTTGCTTGGAGCCCGACCTATAGGAAATCATCCCCTCTCTTTTAGTGAATATGGAAAACTCTACCCCAAAAGCCCAAAACTAAGGTTATTTGTACTAGCTTCAAGAGCTAGTTAGAGAATTATAGGTTCCAAAGGGATAACATAATTGATTATGAACTAATTTCTAGAACACAATTTATTCCTAAACTGGAGACTATCTATATAGTTTCAACACAAATAAAAAAGTCCTCACATATACAACATAGTAATGCAAAGAAAATGTTAACCTACCATTACACATGACTGGTGCTGCAAATCTAAAAATTTTACTCATATTTTCTTGCAAACTATGTCTATATAATAGCATATAAATGCCATCCTATTTATATAATCCTTGAGATTTTATAAATTGACTCCTTTTGGAATTCCATTTTTTAAATAACTGGGACTATCAGGTTTTCTATCTAAAACAGGAGCTTTCAAACCTCTCAAGTGTCTAGAACCCGTTAGATTTCTTTTTCATCTCACTAAACACTGGTTGGCTAGGGCCAGGGCTAGGTCTGTAGTTGGACCTGGAGCAGGGAAACAAGTATTTTATTTTGACAGAATTGCTTTGAATAAACATAACACAAATGTGTTCAAGAATGTCAGGGTTCCATGAAGACAATTTGAAAACCATTAAGATGAGTGGACAGTCTTTGGTCTTCACATACTTCACAATATAAATTCACAGCACAAAAGCTTATATACCTTCCATGTCAGGAGGCACAAGGTGATCACAGGAGAGAAGACAGATGAATCAAAGAAAGTAAGCATAGGCCTGAGTGGGTTTTTAGGGTTCCTAATTACAAAGTCATGCTTGTGTCACATACATCCTTCAAATACCACTTTAAAGTGATAGGCAAGTTAGCAATGCTGTTCTCTTGACTGAAAGGTATTAGTGAAATAGCAGAAGTCACAAATATGGTTTAACGAAGAGCACTTTCCTTATTCACATCACCTAGGAAGAATGGACACATAGAGAATCAGGTTGCAATCAAGGTTTATCAATATGTCAATGTCATTCCTTATCCATTAAAGGGAAAACAGCGTAGTATCCAAGTACCTAGCACGAAGTCAACAGTGTGTTAGGCACTTTGGCATCTCTACGTATCTCACTTCACCTTCAAGTTTTCATGCAGATATTATTTTACATTAGGAAACCAAGCAGCAGGTTAGATCATACAATTATGGTGCTGACATGTTTGTGCTACTATGCCACAGCTGCCTGTGAAAGGACCCCAGATTCACAAAAGGCTAAGGAAGAGCAGCATACTGGCCTGACGAGCACAATGTCTAAATGAAGAATAACCTGATGTCTTTGCCCAGCCTACTTAGAAACCTAGTTGGGTTGTTTGGGGTTTTTTTTCCCCCTCTAAATAAACCTTTCACTCATTCAAATAAATATTCCTTATTTATTTAAATAGAGGTCTTGTGTGGTAAGATTATGTGATGTAGTAAAGTACTACACACACAGAACTTCACTTCAGGTGCTTAGAATTTCTACTTAACTCTGTGTTTTCTAAGTGAAGGCTTTTAAAATGTGTAGCAATAAATTAGAGAAAGACTTGAACATTAACAAGTCTAAGTGAAACTGGAGTCAGTAGCATAGACAACTTGTAGAGAAAAAGATAGAAGCATCCCGAGGATCAGTAACTAATTTCCAATTTGCAGGAGAGACTCACTCAAAGAGCCTCTACTGATAAACTTAGATGTCACCTCCCTGCACCAAGATAACGGTTGCCTTTACCTTGGTGTTTTCTTCTTTTGGATGAAGGTTCATCTCCCTCAGAGGTCATGCTGTAACTAGAGAGATGAAGCAAAGATGTCTGGCTCAGGTGCTCGGGTCTCCAGTTCCAGTACTGAAACTGAGTTCTGGACTCAAACAAACAAGACAGTCTCCAATTTAGTGAAAAATGCCCACTACTGAAGTATGGATAAGGAGCACGAGAATAATGTCCAGGCCACCTCATGCAACTAGAAATATGTCTGCTCCAGCAAGACCTCTGCAAGGTCCCCCAACAGGGAAACCAAGCCCCGCCCAAAACCCCCCAAGGAAAAGGGAACAAGGAAGAACCAAAAGAAACAAAAACACCCCCTAACACACCACCACGCGTCCAGACCCAACAAAAACACCCTCATCAACACACACCCCCAAGGGAAAACAACACCATTTAAAAAACAACCTACGGAAGAAAACAACCAAGAGAAAAAAACACAACACGTAACGATCACTAGTATCTCAAAAGTCTCTCTACATCATGAATGGTACTCTAACACACTTAACCTAGAATGCCACCCAGACTCCCAAACACCACATACCCTTCAAAAAGTCCACAGTTCAACTGAGAGATGAATCAACCATCAAAGTGGTATTCACAGCAGCTTTCTAGTACCTAATAAAACTCAATGAAAACATAAAATCCACAAACAAGCATAATACTGAAGTCATATATGGAACACATATCTCACCTCAATTACAGTAAACTTCTACCACTTGATTTTGGAGTAAAAAACAAGCATTTCGGCACAGTTTTCATAACAAAGTTAGATTTTTCCAAACACTTGAATATTTAAGTGCTCATCATAGCATGACAAATCTATTTTCTCTTGATAATCAATGGGTGGATAAATTCACTTTTCCATTCTTTATAAAACAAACAAAAATATACTTCTTTTGGGGGGAAATGAGATTACTTAAGGGGAATTCACTAACACTCTAAATCCAATACCAGTTTAACCCATCACAGCTTCAAAGTAGTGGTAAAAAACTTGCTGAAAAAACAACCTGGCTTTATTATGGGGGGAGGAGGAGGTCCAACCAAACACCCACTTCTATCCTTCTTTCCAGAATTCATTAAAATTACATTTCCAAAATTTTATGAATAATGCTTACTCCCATCATTAAAGGAGCTTTATTTAAATGGCATTTATGAGTTTTCTTTTTAAAAGTTCCCATGTAACAGCATTTAAAATTTTTATTACATAGTTTCTGGAGTTCACACATTCTCAAACTGTTCAACTAAATCTAACCGAACCGTAAATCTTTAAAGGAACTACTACTTGAGAAGTCTTGAGATATGGGCATTTGCACCGTTCTAATAGTCCATCATATTTAAATATATACTTCGACTATACTGTTTTCTCAGCGTCATCTATACAGATGTCTGGCAGCCACGGTGGCACAAGCAGTAAAAGTGCTCCACTGGTGTTGAAAGGCGCTTCCATAAAGAACCCTGGAAGTCCCCAGAGGCACAGAGGAAGTGGGAAACCGACTGGGAGGCAGTCAATTTGGGTTTTCGTATATAGTTGTCATTTTTCTCTTAAAACACAAGAGACCCTGAGTTCCATCAGGGGCAGAGTCTTTTTATTCATCATAATCCCATAAACCCTAGCACCCAGCACAGTGCACACAGCTGGTAGTCAGGAAACATCGTTGAATGTAACTGTCAGTAAGTCCCAGGGCTCTGAGAGTTAAAAGCAGATCCTACAACTTTAGTAATTAATAAATACAGTGCTGTTTTACAGGGTACACAAACTTTTGTCACTTTTCATAACTAATTAAGTATAATGAGGGGGAACCCTAAACCATAAACACTAACAAAAACCAGGATTTTTCAGGTCTTTCTTGCTCTGGGTAACGTTAACAGGGGGAATGCCGACTTAAGCATTTTCCTAATGTTTTGGGGTGTTGCTTTGTCTTTGTTAACAGTAAGTTTTAAAAACTATCCAGTAAATAACAATATTACAGGTGCAGCGAGAATTTGGTACTGATTGGCAGGTTGGAATACAAGTGACTTAAGTTTGAGAGGTACTAACACGCCAACAAACGACAAACCTCCGGCCGAACATGCAACCCGCGCTCCGCCCGCCGGCTCGGGCTCGCAGGGAGCAGAGCCCTCAGGGAGCCGGGCGAAGACCGCGGCCCTCCCGCAGCCGCTCAGCCCGGGACCCGGGCCGGGGCCGCCGCGGACAGCCAGGCGGAAGCTGGTTGGGGAATTGGCTAGGGTAGGGGAGCAAAGCGGGGAGAGAAAGAACCAGCTCAGGCAGCAGCCCGCAAGCTCTGCGCCCAAGGGCTCGGGCCCAGCTCTTCACCGGAGGTTTACCGCGCTCCGTGATCATTTATCCCTGGGGGTCTCCAGAGGACAGCCCCGCTGACACCATTGCCGGACCCTCTTCCACCTTCTTCCTCTTCTCCCCACCTCCCTACCCCGCGCTCCGCCCCACCACGGATGAGCCCAAGCCTCCCTCCGGTCACCCCAGTCCTACTCACCGGCCTCGGCCGTAGCCCCTCCTAACACAGCGCCACGCTTCCATATTCTCCCTCCGCTTCCTTTTCAAGTCTCACGCCCTTGGTTCAACCTCAGCTTTTGTATCAGAATCTGCGGCTGAAAACACCCAAGAGCTGGTACCACTCCATGTCGGGATCGCGGACCAGCCGCAAAGCAGGCTGGGAAGTTTCCTTTCGTTGCCCGCACGGTCCCCATTTTGCGCTGTGGGGACACAACAGATTTGCGAAGCCGGGTCGTGGTTACAATGCGCATGCGCAACGCCTGTGAAGCCTGGGCAGCCATTTAAAAACAGGGCAAAACGCCTTTCTCTCTTTTAAAGAAACAGAGAAACTCAGGGCTCCACAACTTCAAGGCTTTGGGGCGGATACCGTTTGGTTAAGATCTGAGCCATAAAGGGGGAAACTAATATTTCAGAGTATTTTTATGATGTGCCTGGTGATATTTCACAAACTGGAAAATAAATCCTATGTAAAAAATAAATCAGGATGTTCATGAAACCACCAGGGTCTGTAATTCATTGCAATAGAGTGTCATAGTTCTCTTTTTTGGCTGCTATTATTTCAGCTTTATAGTGGTAAAATATACAATGACGTGTACCATTTAACTATACAATTCAATGACATTTATTTGATTCACTGAACTGTGCAAATACGTGCATTACATCAATTCAGATTCAGAAATCCATTTTGCTGACCTTCTGACCTTATCCAAATTCCTCTGTGTTCCAGAAAATAGTAAATAATCTGATTAATACTTACTCTTAAACGCGGTTTTATGACCCACCCCAAGAAAGAAAACAGAGTAGTGAAATAATGGAAAATCGCCCCCAGCCCTTCGAACTGCTGTGACTAACCCCCCCAACCAGCCACCCCAAGCAGCCGATGTAGAATGGATAAATAACCCTACTCCTTCCGGTGCTGACACCACTCGAGCCTCAGCCTGCTTCTGCCAAAGGACACATTTTAAATAAAGGATATTTGCTATGCCCTCTGCTAGTGTTGCTTCTGAATTTCATAGGTGAGTTTGGACTTTACAGAACACCTTTGTACTTTGGACGGTATTAGTATATTTTTTTAAAGTTATGCATCATTCTGAGCAGAAATCTTTAAGAAATAACTATTCTTTCCCTCCATACTTTGGATATTTCATATAAGTTGGTTTTGGAACCAATTCATAACTGACCCTCCAGCAGGTTTTCAGAGGAAGTAAAACACAAGGGAGGAGATTGCCCATCTTTCTCTCACACAGTAAATTCCAACCTCCTGCTTCTGTGTTGGCAGCACAAGTCGGCCACAGTGCTCTCTTCATTTAACTAAATCATATAGTTTTTGTTCTTTTGGGTCTTGCCACTCAAAGTGTTTTCAAAGTTTAGCTATCTCCAAAGTTTGTATCACAAACTTATCTCTCTTTATGACTGAATAATATTCTATTGTATGCACCACATTGTGTTTGCTGTTTTGGAGTGGGAACTGACCCATAGCTGACCTTCCTGAAGGTTTTCAGAGTCAGTAAATTCTATGAGAGGAGAGTGCACATTGGCCACTGGTGGCTTCGAGCATGTGACTTCAGGATTGCAGCACAGCTTCCTGCCACTCGGCCACCAGAGCCCCTCTACTAATTTTCTGATTGTGCATGAGAGTCTAACTGACTGGAAGAGATCTATATTTAT